CCTGGGGGTGGATTAGGCAAATGAAGCCGCTGACGTCACTTCTTCTTCTTCTGCTTTGGGTTTACTGGCAGGCCGCAAACAACTTCACGGCGTATACTGCCGCCCAAAATCCTCGGCCGGAAGTCCCCGGAGTGGGGACTGGCTTCAGTAGAAGCTGCTGGGACTCCCAGCAGCTTCTACTGAAGCCTTCCGAGTAAATCGCCAGAACGCCGACACCTCCTCATCTCCACCGCTCCCATGTTTTATTTTGTGTTGCCATAAATTAGTCTCTGCGTTTCTGCGCTGGGCTAATGCCAATGCTAATAATGCTAATAAAATGGTGGCTTCACAACACTTTTTTTGAGTTTTACGGGGCGTGGTTTGCAATCCGCCCAGCCAATCAAAAATATAGCTCTTTTCTCACAAGAGAGCCGCATGAGAGTCCCTGCTCTCTAGCAGGGACGGAAAAGGGGGTAAAAAGGTTCTCATTAACTAATTTTAGTTCCGGCTCTTTTTGGTGTGAACGCGACATTTCGGAACTATATAGGAACTAAAGTGGGAAAAGTACTCCGGTGTGAACGCGGAATAACAGGAGGGGTGTACTCCTGTCATGAAGCAAAAAAGTAAAGCCCTGCATGGCCTTGAGACACGTTATTTTGAGGCAGTATCAAGAGCCAATGGAAGAGGAATAGGTCCACATGAAAAAAATGTTTGGGGGATGTTCTGAGAAAAAAGTCAGAATTCTGAGATTAAAGTCAGAATTCTGATTTAAAAAAAATAAAAATAAATGTTAACATCCCCAAAAAAATAATAATGTGGCCCTAATCCTCTTCCGTATATAAATATAAGTGTTTCCCTAACAACATTTCTCTCTTTTTTTTCAAGGTTGTATCCGGTATTATTTCCCACTTTCACTTTGTCCCATTTTACCCTTTCAGAATGCTTTTCGCAAGCAAAGAGATTATCATCGAGTAACAAAACTGGCAGATGTAAAAAGGCCTTTCCAATCTTCCTGAACTGCACAAAAGTAATTCCACGCTTGAAACAAGGTAACACTCATGTTGGCGGCCTTGCACATACAGTACAGTAGTTTCATAAATACTGCTTTAAGTACTAAGATACATAAGGGGAACCCCTTTCTGTGCAGCTATGAAAAGAATATGTCATTCATCGGTCTGTACAGCACTTCTGGAGAGCAGTTAAGCAACAGAAAACTGCTTTTAAAAACTATTTGAAAGGACTTTAAAGTAGAAAAAAAAAAGAATGGATATTTCTTTATTTAACCGAATACATAAATGACAAAATACCCTAACACTGTCTTTGTGTATGGTTGGTTGAAAAAGTTTTTAAGAAAATTACTGAACATGCACTCACTTTATTTCATATTATACAGTCATATATACAGAGTGGATTAGAGGCTTGTAGTGGAGAGGATTGAGGCGTTTTAAATGATTGATGAGCATTTTAAATAAGGGAACTAAGCTTGGATAGGAATATAGCAACACTCTTCCCAAAAAAATAACACTTTTTCATTGATTTCTAGACAAGGAGTATATTCAGAGGCACACCAAGTCAGATTTTTTAATTTAGTAACACGGATTTTGATCTTTTTGTGGCTTTCCAAACTGTTCATCTTCCCTATGATTGATTTCTCTCAGCCTGAACGGCCATGAATGGATTTAACCTGCGGAGGCGGTGAACAAAAATCCCATTTTCTGTTGGGCTGCAGATTCATGATCTCAAAAGAACAATACAGCCTGTGATGTGCTTTGTTAGAAACCCCACACTTTCCACACCGCCACTCCAAGGCAAATGAATTGAGGCTGTATCTGTCCTTGATGAGCACTGCAGCTCTGGGACCTTGATGAGTTTCTGCTGAAGAAAGCATGTTTCTTTCCCCTGCGAGTAAACACAGAATACATTGCTGAAGAATCAGCTGCATACAGATTCGTGATCGTTGTTTAAAACATAAAAAAGATGCAGATGAATGTAAAAACGCTAAGGAATCAGACTCGGAAAAAGATTTCCAGGGAAGAATTACTGGCGCTTTAGCTTCATGCAGTGCACTCTCAGAAGAAAAGGAACATTGTTATTTTACTGGGCATAGACCCAGTTGCAAAAAGTTTAAATCCTTTTTTTCTGAGGGTGTATTAAACGAAAGAGTAAGGCAGTGGAAGAAGAATGAGCCTGAAAGCAGGGTTGTGTCATTTACAGTATCTTAAGAGTCGAACAAAGCATGAGTTATAGTAAGTCTTTTTTTTTTTAATAAGTGCTGAGGCCAGAAACAATGGAGCTGCTTAGATCTACCCATCAGCCCCTCTTTGCTGAACGTCATGAAGCAGACAGTCCATGCACAGCAAGAAAAAGCTACGTTCCCCAGCACAGTTTACAGCACCGTGCTCTGAATAAGCCCTTTCTAGGCATTCTGGATTTGTGCACATGCTCGCACTGTGTGGGAAGAATAGCTTTTTATGCGGTGACACACATCATGTAATGCAATCCTTGTGTAATCTATCACTCAGGTGTAATAATGTCTACAGCTTGCAGCTTGGCTCGTTGGAGCAGTCATTGTGGTTCCTGTCCACGTCCCTCTTCCTCAGCTCCCTGCCCGCCTTGTGCTGCTGGCTGCTGCCGCTGTGGCTGTGGCCGTGGGGGGGGGCCGCCGCCGCCGATGGCCGCCTGCCGTGCTCCTGGTGGTTCCCATGGCTCTGGTGATGGACATGCTCTTTGGCGCCGCCGTGGGACTCGTCCTCGAATGCGGCCCCTCCCTTGGTGTCGTCCAGGGCTTCGAAGTTGTCGCTGTTGGTTCCCTCTCTGACGGCGCTCTCCGGCACCACCTGCAGACGGGCTCTGACGCGGTGGTGGCGCGAGCCCACGTCGTCACTGAAGTCGATGACGCGGCACTCGTAGGTGCCCTCATCCGACGTCTTGACCCGGGATAGCCGCAGTTTATGGGAGATGTTGCTTCCTACAACCTTAACAACCTGGTAGAGATAAACAGATGAAAATAAATAAATCATTTGATTACACCGGGAAATAAACCTACTTAATACAAGCTTGAAGAACTTTTGGTGGCAACATATTTGGCAATTACAGGACAATGTAGGGGTGGGCGATATTGAAAAATATATTATCACGATATTTTTCAAGCAGTATCACGATAGACAATATACAGTGGGGCAAAAAAGTATTTAGTCAGCCACCAATTGTGCAAGTTCTCCCACTTAAAAAGATGAGAGGCGTGTCATTTTCATCCTAGGTATACCTTAACCATGAGAGACAAAATGAGAACAAAAAAAATCCAGAAAAATCACATTGTCTGATTTTTAAAGAATTTATTTGCAAATTATGGTGGAAAATAAGTATTTGGTCACCTACAAACAAACAAGATTTCTGGCTCTCACAGACCTGTAACTTCTTCTTTAAGAGCCTCCTCTGTCCTCCACTTGTTAACTGTATTAATGGCACCTGTTTGAACTCGTTACCAGTATAAAAGACACCTGTTCACAACCTCAAACAGTCACACTCCAAACTCCACTATGGCCAAGAGCAAAGAGCTGTCAAAGGACACCAGAAACAAAATTGTAGACCTGCACCAGGCTGGGAAGACTGAATCTGCAATAGGTAAGCAGCTTGGTGTGAAGAAATCAACTGTGAGAGCAATTATTAGAAAATGTAAGACAGACAAGACCACTGATAATCTCCCTCGATCTGGGGCTCCACGCAAGATCTCACCCCGTGGGGTCAAAATGATCACAAGAACGGTGAGCAAAAATCCCAGAACCACACGGGGGGACCTAGTCAATGACCTGCAGAGAGCTGGGACCAAAGTAACAAAGGCTACCATCAGTAACACACTACGTCACCAGGGACTCAAATCCTGCAGTGCCAGACGTGTCCCCCTGCTTAAGCCAGTACATGTCCAGGCCCGTCTGAAGTTTGCTAGAGAGCATTTAGATGATCCAGAAGAGGATTGGGAGAATGTCATATGGTCAGATGAAACCAAAATAGAACTTTTTGGTAAAAACTCAACTAGACGTGTTTGGAGGAGAAAGAATGCTGAGTTGCATCCAAAGAACACCATACCTACTGTGAAACATGGGGGTGGATTTAAAGGTCCTGGAGTGGCCTAGCCAGTCTCCAGATCTCAACCCCATAGAAAATCTTTGGAGGGAGTTGAAAGTCCGTGTTGCCCAGCGACAGCCCCAAAACATCACTGCTCTAGAGGAGATCTGCATGGAGGAATGGGCCAAAATACCAGCAACAGTGTGTGAAAACCTTGTGAAGACTTACAGAAAACGTTTGACCTCTCATTGCCAACAAAGGGTATATAACAAAGTATTGAGATGAACTTTTGTTATTGACCAAATACTTATTTTCCATCATAATTTTTCAAATAAATTCTTTAAAAATCAGACAATGTGATTTTCTGGATTTCTTTTCTTCTCATTTTGTCTCTCATAGTTGAGGTATACCTAGGATGAAAATTACAGGCCTCTCTCATATTTTTTACATGGGAGAACTTGCACAATTGGTGGCTGACTAAATACTTTTATGCCCCACTGTATATCACGACATTTTTTCATGTCGGTTATTATGGTTATTTTTCAAGTTACTTAACAGTACAACCACCAACAAGGTAACAGAAACTAAAACAAAAAGGAGTAACAGACCAAAATAGCATTTCAAGCTGGTTTTATTTCTGAAATGAATCCCTGAATGAACAATTCAACATTTTGATATGGCTTCAAGGCACAGTTTCTCAGTATAAAAATGAACTTTCTGAGGTAGCACTAGCAGTGAACATCAATAAACATGAAAAGGAGGGTAAAACATAACAATGAAAGACAGCTTTAGAGCATGTCTTTCACATCAGTTTATTTTTTTTGTAGTTTCTTTAAAAAAAAAAAAGAAATTCAATCTTTTTTTAAATTTTATTACGATAGATACGGTATCTCTGAAAAAGCATATCGTGGAGACCTAATATCGTCACGACGATATATATCGTCATATCGCCCACCCCTAGGACAATGTCAAAAATATCATTCAAAAAGTAAAGGGATAGCATGTGGAAAAAAGTTATATTATAGTATTTCGTCAAATGTGAAAAACATCCATAGTTGTGTATGTCGGAAATACTATAAAAATGTCATAGCGTAGTGTGTTGAAGGAAGGTCATGAACAAATTGATATAAAAAAGAATAGAAAAGTCATATAACATGTCCTAAAATAATAGAAAAGTCATATTATTGTAAATGACAGTATACAGTATATTTTAGACATACTATACCATGTATTTTTTTGGTATATTTTCAACATACCATACTATGCCATTTAAAAAAAAAATGTTGCAGTTTTTTTGCACATTTTCGACATACTATACCAGTGTTTTTCAAAGTGGGGGCCCCGATCCCCCGGGAGGGCGCCAGGGGGGTCACGCAAAGTTTGATGGAAACGGTTTTTTTTTCTCTTTTTTTTTTAAGTTTACATTTTTTTTTTTTTTTATGTTATTAATAACTGTATATCTATCAATCTATGTGTCCTTTGATGCCAATCTTTTAATATTTTTTGTTTTTGAATCACACGACCGCCCTTCAAGCCAATCAGAATCGAGCCGCCGCGACTGAGAGTGAAACTGAGTATCTGCTCAGCTTTTGGAGCAAGTGAGAGCTAGTGAATATTTCGCTCTGCAGCTGGATGAGAGCACGGATGTAGCAAATGTCGCAGAATTGCTTGCATGCATCAGATTTATTTCAGAAGACAACTTTGTTGAGGAAATATTATTTTACAAAGCGCTGGAAGGTAGGACCACATGAAGAGACATTTTTAGATGAGTACATCATCTCAAATGGACTTGACTGGTCTCGTTGTGTGTGTTCAGATGGGGCAGTGGGGCTATGACAGGCAAAACAAGCGGAGTGACAGCTTTGATCAGGCAGAAGGCCCCAAATGTAGTGGCAACACACTGCATGATCCATCGCGAGGCACTTGTAGACATAATTTAAAGAAATTGCAACAGGGGGGTCCCCGCCAGAGCATAATGCTATATGGGGAAGTTTGGGAACCCTTGTACTATACTACATAGTTTGGTAATATTTTTTCGACATACCACACAATGTGGTCTTTTTGTATATTTTTGACATACTATAATATGTCGTTTAAAAATATTTTGGCATACGATTATGTTAGAAAAATATCACTCAGACCGGCTTGAGCTTCAATATCAGGATACATGTATTTATCATCCTCTCAAGAATGGAAGTAGTCCTCACATACAGAGCATATGGGACAACTAATTCCTGAACAGTGTCCTCCACATGCTTACAAGAGAGTGTTACAATCACAAGATGGAGGCATACCGGTTCAAAGCAGTAGACAATGTTCAGTTCAGATTAGCTAAAACCCACGTCAGAAATGATCATGCTTGTCATATGTCTATCTCCATGGAGACTGAATCATCATGTTAATCTCATAGCTATAATATGCCTAAAACATTGTGTCCTGATCAGTGCCGTCGCCTGGCCTGGGCTTTAGCCACGAATGTTTTTCCTGTAGCCCCGGACAATTCTCCCTCAATAAAATAATACATTAACCGTGCTTTACCTGAACCTCATCATGACACTAGAGAGGATGGCAGGATTGTAATTTCCCATGTTCAGTGAATGCAACAGAGGCAAGACACCAGACCAATCAGAGAGTTGCATCATGGAAATAAAGTACAAGTACTTCTGGGTCTGTGTTTCATTCAAGCTCGGCTCTGTGTATTGTGTGGCAATAGCGCATTTAGTGTGATTGAGCGAGAGAGAGCGCGCACCGGTGCCAGCAGGGACCATGGGGCACCAGTGGCAGGGATTGTGTGGTTAGCATCTGGTTAGCTAGCTGCACTAACGGAGGAGCTGTTTCCACAACAAGCTGGAGGAGAGTCCTCTCCAGTCAGACTGAGAGACCCAGGTGAGCTAAAGGACTGTTTAGATAGTTAACTTAAGTCTAAGTTATCTCAGTGGGTCTCAAACGGTTTGGTCACAAATTATGTAAAATATTATTTCCGAGGCACACGTTTACACGATCATTATAGTTATAAAAACAATAAGAGAATAAATGAAAAACCGTTATAAAATACTATATGACAGTAAAACAAGAATACAGTTTAAAAGGGTAGTGATTTGTAAAATATCCATAAAGAAAAAGAAAATCTGTTTCCAGTTCTGTTTCATATGGATGTTGAGAGATGTATCCATAGATCTCTTAATTTTGCTCTCAAAGTGCACCAGATTGATGCATTTAACTTCAACATTTAAAAGNGATCAACTCAGTGAAAGCACCGTCTGCTGACCAATCAGAGCTCCGTGTGCGGAGTTTAAAGCGATCAAGTCATATTACAGGATAAAGGAAATACAGAAAAACTGCCGTTGCAGGAAAGACGGCCGGCAAAAATCAACTGACTGTGAACATGAAAATTAATAGAATATCACCTCCCATCTTCAGAGCAATCTGACTAATATAACATTAGCGTTAAGAAAGCTCACTTAAATATCTGCCACAACATAAGTAACCGGATCAAAGTGACATTACGTACAATCCGCGCTGTGAGTGCAGACGTCAGTGTGTCCCATTATCATTCATATCATATCACATCTTAATGTATCATATATTTCTGATATTTATCTGAGTCAGCTTCTCCAGCCGTATCTGGCCGTGCAACACTCACAGTGTCACATACTGTATGCAGAAGTATTATCTTAAGCAACACATTAAGTTGACGAAACACTCGAGTCAAATGCAATTAAAGTCAGATCGTGTCTTAGAAGGGGCAGTGATATCATAAACCTGTTAATGTACGCATTCAAACACTTTTTTTAATACCAGTATTCACCTTGCAG